GGAAGATATAATTCTCGCGATCAAGAAAGCGGTCGAAAATGGAGTTATTGTCGTCAACTGCACTCAGTGCTTCCGCGGCAGTGTGGACAAGCAGTACCATACGGGCGAGGTAGGATGAACGTGCTTAAATTTTTTGAGCGAAAGCTTTTTGTAGCATCATGTTTGCTTAAAGTACTCGCTATTACTTCAGGTTCATCGTACTTCGAAAATTCTCTTTGATTTGAGGTCTAGCTGCCTGAGATTTTAAGCTCCGTAAGATGGATCAGTGGCAATAGGCGCGATGGTTGGAATGTGCAAGATGATTGGCAGCTACACTTTTCAGTGACAACGTTTTGAAAGGTCATCAATATGCGATAGGCGAGGTAAGCTGACTTAGAATAGGTTATGATGTAGAAAAACTGAAAGCGGTAATGTGTAATTAATTCGAAACTCGTAATTCGAAATCTCGCTATAATTCGAGAGCATGTTTTAAATATTGTTGACCACAGTTGATGCTACTGGGCCCATAATACCTCATAGTCCAAGAATGGCACAAACTGCGATCAACGGATCCACTATCCAATATATCGACGCGTCTCCTTTATATTTTTCTTCATCTTTCTGTTCATATTCTTCAGGGCTATGATATTTTTCACTCCTTCATGACGTTAGCTGTATTATTATGCGGGTTTTATCTCACTGGTATCAGGTTTCGTTTTGGAACGTATCTTCTTGAAGTTTACATATGCATACCCGTCTCCTTGCCTTCTGTTACTTGTGATTGAGGCTGCTGCGTCATTCCACTTTATACTCTAATATGATTACTTGTCAGTTACTTCCCTTCACGTTACACTGATGTATGTCGCCCAAGTTCTTCATTGATATGTGCTGTTTTTAGGTATTATATTCAGCAGGCGTGATCAGCGGAGAAGATATGACAGTCGAGGCCAGCCTGGCAAAATTGGCGTACGTTCTGGGAAAAACGGAACTATCCCTGGAAGAAAAGAAACAGGTAAGATTTGAAACATGTATTTCGTTACCGCGGATTTCTATCCTATTTCCTCTTATCCGTTTCGTCGTCTTACATCCATTCAGTATTTTTATTTTCTGCTTCATTCTCACAAATCAGACGAAGTTTTTTTTTGCTTGTCCACGACTCATATAAGAGAGGGTGTCTGGGGTTAAAATTCGACATGTTTAAAATTAGAAATTTATTTAAAGTTTAGTTAAATTAAGTTAAACTTTGGTCTGAAATTAATATTTTACTAACTAGATGGCGTGGCGAATCATTGTCTGGTTTGAGTACCAAAACACGTACCGCATCCAGAAGATTGGTGACTGAATATCAACAGATCTGAACACGATTTTAATAATAAA